GGTGAATAAAACAAACAAGATCCGCACCTTTGTGAAGGTAACAGTGCTTGACAGAGGGAGCAGCCAGTCAAGAGCTGTTTGCATAGTCACTGCCCTGAGCTGGACAGAGTGGTGCATGCCCATAATCCCAGCACCTGGGAGGGCGGTCGAGGCAGGAAGATCACAATTTTGAGCCCAACATGGGCAACTTAGTGACATGAGGAGACCTTGCCTCAAAAAAAATAAATAAAGTGCTGGGGATGTGGTCAGTACAAAGGCCCTGGGTTCAATCCCCAATATCAAAAAAACAAAAAACAAAAAAACACCACTGCCTGAAGCTGACCCTGGTTATTGGTGAGGGCGTAAAAGGGATTCTGTTTCCCCTGTTGGCAGTCGCATTATCCATGGTCCCCTCGATTCCTTCCCCCCTTCTCTGTCTTTGCCTCCTTCCTGAGTTCTCAGCCTTGGAGGTGCTAGGGAATGCTGGCTTTCCTGTGGCAAGCCTTGTCAGCAGCCTCTGATAGAGCTGGTTGTGAGTATGAAACCTTTGTGCAAGGGTGCAGTGACTAGATTTCACAGCTTTGGCTGAGGGAGAAGAGCAAGGCCAGAAAAAGAAACATTTGAACTCAAAAGCCATGGCTTTCGATCTGTCCCACCATGCTGCACTGCAGAGCAACAGCTCCTCTACCTTAATTTTTGTCTTCAGAGGCCAGAGCTGGAGATATTGATGCTGTAATTTGAATGCCGCTGTTCCTTAGCAACCCCTCTCTGCCATGCTTTTCATAATTTACGCTTAGTTTCAGAGCTTCTTAGAATGGCACTCTGGTAGGATCAGATCAGTGCATTTTAGAACTTAAGAATTAATAGTTTTTCCATAAGACTAAGTGGCTTTATAGTCCTTCATTTCTGACCCTGCCTTGCAGCCCCCCAGCTGCTCCCATTGTAGGACAGGGTTTAGGGGATCTGTGACCGAGAGCCCTTGTCTGCCTCACACACCTGCAGCCTGGGAATCATTAAGCAAATTGTATTTTTTCCAGTGAATAGTTCTTTTAAAAGCCTTGTCTCGAACTCTGGCCAATACCATCCAGCCTTAGCTCATTCTCCTCCATCCCGACCCTTCCAAGGTGTACCTGTTTCCAACATAGCCCTTTCCACTCACTCTCTGTCACCCTCATATCTGAGTGGGTTTTTGCCCTGCCAGCACAGTAGCGCAGGGCCTGGGGAAGAGTGGTTGCTGTAAAGGAGCAGGAAAGCCAGCTTTTAACACTTCAGAGACGAAATGTTGAATCCCATTCCCACAGATTGCTTCAGTCCTGCTCCACGTTAACCCTTGCAGAGTGGATGTAAACATGTGTGTTGTCAAACCTTCTAAAGGCCAAAAACTCTTAACTTAGATGTGTTCACCCAGCTTTCCCTGAAATTTTTGTATTTTATAATTTTTAAATGTATTTATTTTGTGGTGTTCCTTTTTCTCATTTCTGTTACCTGAATTTAAAAAAATAGTCATTGTCATAATTCAAATAATTCAGAAGTACCCAAAATAAAAGTAATAGTCTCCTGACCTCTATCCTGTTCAGTTTCTTCTTCTTGATTATAATTTACAAACAACAATTTGGCATGTCTCCTTCCATACTTTTTTCCGTACTTGTGCAAATATGTATATATATATTTTTGGTACCGGGGATCAAACTCGGGACCTTGTGCTTGTGAGGCAGGTGGCAGAACTACTGAGCTAAATCCCCGGCCCTCATGTAAATATAGTTTATATACATACCACACACACAAGTGCATACATAAATAGAGGATTGAACATATGCACATTATATACACTACACGTGCTGCTGGGATCACCATTGTATATATTATTTGATAACTGCAGTTTTAACTTCAGAGTAGATGAATGGATGTTCTTATAAATCTGTGTTTTTACTCTAGCTTTTTTATTATCTGCACAGAATTTTGTAGTATAACTGTACCATAATTATTTCAACACTTTTCCTCATTGGGGAATGTTCAGGCTGTATCTGTTTTTTTGCAAATAAATATTTTGCTGTAGATAAACTTCTCTGACATGATTCATTATGTACTTCTGTTGGATGAAACCCAGAGAGGGCACATTTAAAATTCTTTGAACAATGACATAGTAAATTTGTTTTAGTACTGTATAATCTTATCAACAGATCATTACTACAGAGATACATTTAAAATCTTATGCTAATTAAAGCCTTTTTCTAGATCTACTTGTCAGATAGACCTCAAGTTGATTGTGGTTACACTTTTGTTATTTAAAAAAAAAAAAAAATATATATATATATATATATATATTGATCGATCTATCTTCTTCCAGGTTAGATTTAAAAGTTACATTCACTTAATTGGATGGCACCTCCATGCAGTTAGAACTAAAATGCCATTTAGATAAATGTGGCTGGCTCAGATGTCCTCATTCTGCCAGAGTCAAATCAAAACCTCCAAAAATTCATGAGTTTACTTCTAGAATGAAGTCAGGGTCCGTTAAAGCCTACAGGTGTTAAGGAAGTTGTTCAGCACATTGTTAGGAACTGAAAATGTACATGTGATCAATACCTGAGCTCTTGGAGAGGATGGAAGTTCAAAACATTCAGTAAATGTAAGATACTGTATCATTAAAGCAGGCATGATAGTATATGCCTGTAATTCCAGCTCTCTCGGAGGTTGAGGAGGATCACAAATTTGAGCCTACGGTGCACAACTTAGCACAGTGGTAGCAAACCTATGGCATGCTTATAATTGTATTTTTCTTTTAAGACAAAAGATGTTACTGTAGAGTTGGTTTTTCTAAACTAAAGCCTCAGTATGCAGGTTTAATTGCAGTGTTGGCACTTTGCGATAAATAAGTGGGTTGTGGGTTGCAGTTTGGCACTGGGTCTCTAAAAGTTTCGCCATCACTGACTTAGCAACTTAGACCCTGTCTCAAAACAAAAAATAAGGCCTGGGATGTAGCTCAGTGCACAGGCCCTGGGTTCAATCCCCAATACCCACAAAGAAAGATACAGCACTATTATTGAACCCAAAGCTCCATATTAATTTTCTTATGGTGAGTCCTATGCAGTTTGTTTAATAAGAAAAACAACTAACAGAAGTCAGTTTATAAAACAGTACAGTTTGCAAAAACATAGGGATGCAGTGAGGATAATGTCCAACCTCCCTATTCAAAACACAAAGACATTGTAGTTGAGGATATTGCCCATATCCATTCTTCTATATCCTTGTATGGCAACTTGGTTTTGTGTATCAAAGTCTTTGAAAATACAGCTCCAGTGCTGTAATTCTATTCTTAAATTTATGAATTGAAAATAGAGTAATGACAAGGTAGAGTTAAAAAAAAAAGTTGAGATAAATTATAGTAAAATAGGTTATTGAGCCATTAAAAATCTATATAGAGCGTAATGACATGGGGAAATAGACACTTATATAATAAGCAGGGGAAAACAGGCTTCAGAATTATGGTGGTGAGCTGGGTGTGATGGTACATGCCTGTAATCCCAGCATTTTGAGAGGCTGAGACAGGAGGATCACAAGTTCAAGCCCAGCCTGGGCAACTTAGTGACTTAGTGAGACCCTGTCTCAAAAAAAAAAAATGGCTGGGAATGTAACTCGGTGCACAGGCCCTGAATTTGATCCTGAGAACCACCACTAACACTCCCTCCCCCAAAAAAGTAGAGGGGAGATGGTAGTGTTTCCAAGAACACTTGTGAGATGCTGAAGTCCTGCATGGACACATCAGCTTGAAAAATACTTAGCTGATGAAACAAGTTTATGCATTGTAGGACTTGTCTTATTGGAGATTCATAGAACATAAGGTAAATATTTGCCACATTTCTTTGACTTTGAAACATTTTTTAAAGAATATTACTACTTTCTTTTAAGGCACTCACTTTCTACTGAATATAGGATGAAAAATGCCAATACATAGTTCAGTCTCAGTTTTTATTATTAAAAATGTATATACATGTAATATATATATATATTTGTACATTTGTATGCATGAATGTATAGAAAAGCTGGGAAAATATATGAAAAGGTCCCATCAGAGTTGTGAAATTACTTATAATTTTTTTCTGTATAACTAGTCTGAATTTCCCAAATTTTCAGCAAAAGAAAAAATATTACTTCCAAAATTGAAAAAAAGTTGTTTTTAAATTCTCAGAAAGCTTATAAAAACCACTGGTGAAAGGGGGCTTACCTCTAGTTGTCAAAGTGGAAAAAACAGCTGTACAAAAAACAAAACATAAGCCTTGGCAGCAGATCTGAGTTCATCCTCTTGTCTGTGATCTTGGGCAAGGCATTCAACCTCGGACTGTCACTTGCAAAATAAGAATACAGTAATACCTCCCACACAGCTGTGGGGAAAATCCTGCCAGGTACTGTAACATGTGCTCGTAGATGTGCAAAGATTGTGTGTTTCAGTTTTTTCGCTAGTGATTGCATATATAGGGAAACATCTCTTTAAGTGAAGTTTGTTGTGTTGGGATAAACATTTTTACTGTAGAAACGTACTTCTGAAATGATGAATGAAATGTTCTTACTCTTGAGCAGAGGATATGGTTCACTGCATCAAATCAGAGGGAAATGGGGTTTTCAGACTTAATTTAGATAGACAATTTCCATTTAATTTTGAGACAGAATTCTTTTTTCCCCTCTAGTTGCTTTTAGCATTTGTCATAATTTTCATAAAGATAAGGTTTTACTTAACCAGGATCCATTATCTATGACTCACCCCTGCTTTTGGCTTCTTTTTCCCCTCAAAATCCTCAAATTAAAAAAAAAATTTTTTTAATTAAAGAATTTAGTTGGTTTCTCCTAGAATTGTAGAAGTTCTTTTTGAGAAGATTGTCTTTTAATATGTAACATAATTACTTTAAAATGTTAAGATTTTGGTGCCATGCATGGTAAACTTTACTGTTAAAAGTGTTTCTTCATGCTTCCTTCATAGCTGTTTTTTGCAGTTATTTTGTTTTACTTTTCTATTTGTCATACAGCAACTCTACAGAAAAAAGCCAGGTTTGCCCATCTCCTTTGCAAAGCTGCCACAAAATTTGGACAAAAACCGGTATAAAGATGTGCTGCCTTGTGAGTATCTAGCATGAATGCTCTTTCCCTCCTGCACTGAGATAATGTTTCCCTTTTTAAAACAGATTGCCTGGTATTCTGGAACGATTTTCAGTGTGTCTGTAAACACCGCCGTCTTTGCTGCAGCCATTTCAGACTCTGAACAGTTGGGGAATAGTGTTTATGCTAATGAGGCAAGAGCTGCAGATGGGGCTGGGAACTGAACTCTTGTTTACTTGGTGTGATAAAAATAACACTCAGAATAATCGGTAAATTTTCTTCTCTCCCACAGATGACATCACCCGGGTATTACTGCAGGGACACGAAGATTATATTAATGCAAGTTATGTGAACGTAAGTTAAGGGTCTGGGCATTTAAAGAGCATGTTCATCATTGTAAGGAAGGTCTGAACAGCCAGTAGGGTAGCCGCTTTGTAACTGACAAAGTGCTCTCCTGTTCACTTGCACATTTCAGCTAGACAGCCATGTGAGGGAAGGAAAGTAGTCTGATATTACAGAGGAGAAAACTAAGGTTTTGAGAGAGTGAATAAGTTGAAAAGACACAAAGCTAAGAGCAGATGGGACTGAAATGTATTCTGTGTTTCTGATTCCATCATCTACATGTTCCTGTACTGGGATGCTGCCATCAAGGTGTTTGGCTTTGCCAATGGTGTGTTGTTAACTTTCTGTGGTTTTTCTCATGTTATTAATGTCACCCTTCCTAAAAATAAGAAAAAATAAGACCTCCTTTGTATATATAACCCAAAAAAAGGAAAAGGAAAAGGCTCACACATTGTATGAAACCAATTCTTTTTTTCCTCTCTGAAAATGCCTGTTGGACAGCTTCCTTGGCCTCTATGAACTTCAGTTTCATCTAAACCTCAGGGTCAGCAAACTTGTTCTGTAGAGGGCCATATAGTAAATATTTGTCTTTGCATTTAAAATGTACCCATTTAGAAATGTTGGAGACTAGTCTTAGTTTGTAAGGTGGCAGGCAGATCAGCCTGCAGGCCAGAGTCTACCAAACCCTGATTTAAATAAACATAATTTCTCAGATTTCATCTCAAATTATAGTGAAATATCAAGAACTGCCTTTAAAAAATTATCTGATCAATGATTCCACTTATTCCAAAACATCTATGAGACTGAATTCCTAGGCCCTCACTTCGACATTCAAAAATGGTGGGGCAACAACCCTACAGGGTCTAGTCTTTTTATGTTATCCAGGGTCAAGGAAGCCATTAACCCAACCACTAACCAAACCATGAATTGGGATCCTTCATTTACCTTCCCCATCTAAGAATAGTGGACCATTGGTGCCAATTTGAAGCTCAGAGAGTTCTGAGTGTTCTTTCACAGAAAGGACTCAGTCCAGTGGGGAAAAGGTGAAAATGGAGCAGAATGAAAGAAATCTTCATTTTAAAATATTTCAACAGTTGATGTCAAGATTGACCAACTTAATGATATAACCATTAGATGCCATGTAGAAAGCAAAGTGTATAAACACAGGTATAATCCTGTGTTTATGCTTTACATAAAATAGTCCCTACTCTAATTTTGTGGCATGTAAAGTATATCCAAAAAAACCTATTTAAAAAGCAAATAAACAGTTAACCGATTTTGATAGAAAAAACTGTATAGGAAAGACTTGAGATGGGGATTGCTACGTATTGCTGAAAATACAGATGACTAATATTGGTTTTATTTAGGATAGAGCAATCAAAATCATTTAAACTCTGCCATCTTGAAGGAACATTTCTGGGTTTTTTCTACCAAGTGCTATACAGTTTAATCTTAAAGATTCTAATCCTGGCATTGTTGTCAAATCTTTTACAAGGATTTTTAGAAATATCTTTTTCTTTGATTTTTCTCATTCACTATAAATTGATAAAGAAATATTTTTCTGATGTGATGTCAGTTAGCAAGAACAGTTTTTAAATGTAGACCCCTGTCCACTTTGTGGCAGTCATGGATTCTAATACTTTACCAATCTCTTGCCAGATGGAAATTCCTGCTGCTAACCTTGTGAACAAGTATATTGCCACTCAGGGACCCCTGCCACACACCTGTGCACAATTTTGGCAAGTCGTCTGGGATCAGAAGTTGTCATTGATTGTCATGTTGACAACTCTCACAGAGCGAGGGCGGGTAAGTGGCTTGATTTCCAATTCAAATGTATGTAATGTGACACTGCTGTACAAAATGTGAATCCCAGGGCTAGAATGGGTATATTGGTTCAGCCCCAGTGTGACCGATAAATCTCCAGTTTGAAGCCACCAAATGGACAGCTCCAAGGACTGGAAACTCAGTCCTCCTCCTGTCCACCTCAGGCATGAATCCATTATAACAAGCTAGGAGGCAGTTTCCTCTTGCCTCGTCCTCCCTGCTTATAGAACCATATGTTGATTGTGCCTTCGCCCACTCAAGACAATTGCTGGAGCAGAAAGAGCAATGTGTACAACAAAAATAGTGGCTGTAACAAGGAAGAGGAATTCTACTATACCATTTTCCTCAGAAACAAATCACTGTTTGCATAAGTCAGTGTGCAAGGGGGTACTTTTGTTATGAATGCCCTACGTTCTAGATACATCTGCATATCTTCATTATGAAATCTGTATTCAGAAACACATGCCAAAATCAGTTATTATTTTGAACCACCTGATCTGAGTGATGTGTGTGCCACCTTCTCCAAAGTTTCCTCCCTAGTGTGTAGTTCAGAATGCCAGAATTATCCATGTTGAAATTGAGAATACATAGGAATTGGAATGGGTAGCACTTTGGAGAACAGTCTACTACTTTCTTACCTGAAACAACAAATAAGATTTCCTACTAATTCTAAAAATTCTTGTGGGTTGCAGAGAGCTTTTACATGTGTTGTCCCAGTCAGACAGCTTGCCACCTCTGCTAAAACATTTCGAGTCTGTCTTGTGAGTGCTCAGCTCCGGCTTTTTAAAAATTTCTTCTCATAATGAATGTATCATTTTTAACTTCCACCCATTTAGTTGTGCAACAGAGAAAACACAAAATAAGTTCCTCTCTACTCTATGTGATACCCCTTCCGATATCTAAAAATAACCTTGGACTTCCATTAAGATCATGGTCAGCAGAGAGCATGTGGACTGTGTGTTAATTTTGGCATTGAGCCAATTTCTCCCCTTTAGCACTTAGACTAGTCAGTTTTTTCATTGCTGGGGCACAATACCCAGCACTCACAACTTAAAGAGATGTTTAATTTAGCTCATGGTTTGGGGGGATTGAGCCCATAGTAAACTGGCTCCAAAACAGAACATCATGGCAGACAGAGCAAAGATGCTTATTTCATGGTGGCCAGTGAGCAGAGCAAGGGAACAGTACCAGAGAAGAATGGGTGAAGGATCACATATAGCACTCAAGACCATGACTTACCCACACATACCCAGGAGCATGCTTTACTTATCTGCTAGGCATTTCTTTTTCTTTTCTTTTCTTTTTTTTTTTTTTGGTACCAGGGTTCAAATTCAGGACCTTGTGCTTGCAAGGCAGGCACTGGAACCACTGAGCTAAATCCCCCGGCCTGCTAGGCATTTCTTAACCCAGTGAAGTTGACATGTCAGGATTAACAGTCATAATTCACTACTCATCAACTTCATACCCAAACACATCTCCCTAAACCATACTTAATCTCCAAGTGAAGACAATAGCAAGTTTATAATTCCACCTAACATAATACAACTATCACTTATACAACCAAAAACACAATAGTCCCTTCCCTATAATCTCAACAGTTCCAGCATTTTTCAAAAGTCCAGGTCTCTTCGGAGACTTAAGGCAACCTCCTAATTCTGAACCTCTGTAAAAATAAAAAACAAGTTACATAATCCCAAGGTTTATATATGGCACAGAGCAATGATGGTGAACCTTTTAGAGATCAAGTGCACAAACTGTAACCTAAAACCCACTTATTTATTGATTGATTGATTTTTTTGGTACTGGGGCATGAACTCAGGTTCTTGTACTTGTGCAGCAGGTGGTGAAACCACTGAGCTAAATCCCCAGCCCAAACCCACTTATTTATTGCAAAGTGCCAACACTGCAATTAAACCTGATTACTGAGATTTTAGTTTAGAAAAAATTCTATGTTAACATCTTCTGTCTTAAAAAAAAAAAAAAACAATAACATGGATTCCATAGGTTCACCACCACTGGCATAGGGTAAACATTCCCGTTCCAAAAGGTAGGGATGGGGGACAGAAAAGAATCAGACCAAAACAAGACCAAAACCCAGCAGGATAAACATTAAATCTGTATCTCTATATCCGGCATCTGGGGTACCTGGTGATGAGATGTGTGCTCTAGAGGGCTGTGACAGCTACCCCCTTACAGACTTGCTTTTTGAAGCGCCTGTGACCTCTCTCTTGGCTTTACTCTCAGGCCACAGCTTTCCTATCAGATATTCCACATTTCTGCCATCACTCACTTCCTGAGGTCTCCATTGCACTTGGTTTCATTCTCACTTCTTCACTCACTGCTTTCTCAAGGCTCTTTCCCTGACCTTGCAGGCTTTCCCCTGAAATCTGAGTAATTGCTTTCCTGACCCCCAACATGCAGTCTGCAAGTCAGTAAAACCAACTTCACATGGACAAATACCAAGATTGGCTGCCAGTTCAAGCAGTAGCTGGGCCCCTTTGGATCATGGCTGCAGCAGCCTTTGAGTGCCTAGATGAATGAGTAGAGTGAAATGAATCCCAGGGAACCAATTCCCTAGGAGGCGCTGGTCAAGCATGCATCCCAGGAACCGTTTTCTCAAAGGAAAGCTTTAAATTTTTGCACCCTTGACCTTGTGTTCGCTGGGTTCTTGCTGATTCCTAAGGTGCTCTCAAGTCATTTCTTGTCCCTGTACAAAGTACTTTCTTTTTAATGATGCTAATCTCTCTGTTAGCCACACCTCCTTTAGCCCCAACTTTATACATGGTTCTTTCTGGGTTGAAATTTATATTTTTCAAAATTTTTTTCCTTGCCCTTTTGCCTACAATTCTCATTATAAATCTGGCTAAAAGCAGCCAACAGTGTGCATGCTACAGCCTGAATGTTAGACTGTCTTAAAATTTCCTTTACAGATTATCAACCACCCTTAATCTCAGTCTCTTGCAAAGTCTCAGGACGTGGGAATACAGACAAATTTCCTACTAGCGTGTGATACAGATATCCTGTAATCCAACTGCCTGTGGAGTCCTTGTTTTCAACTGAAACCTCTTGACCCTGCCCTTTACTGTCAGCATTCTGGTCTTTTGAGCTCTGACTAGAATCACCCACTGATCAAGCTTTTAAGGCATTTGAAGGCTTCTCTAGCCCATGTCTCCAAACCTTTCAAAACTTCCACAAACTAGTTTCAAAGGCTTCTAAACTACATAGTGAGGTATAGTCATAGCAACAACCCTACTCCTAGTACCAGTTTTCTGAATTAGTCCCGCTTTTCTGTTGCTGGCCATATTACCTGATACCCACAACTTAAAGAAGTTTAATTTGGTTCATAGTTTCTGTGCATGGTCAGCTGGCTCCAAGTCAGAAACATGGGACAGAAGGGTGAGGCAAAGCAAAGTTGCTTAGTTCATGGTAGCAAGGAAGCAGAAGAGGGGAACAGTGCCAGAGCAGAAGGGTTGAGGGACCAGACATAGACCCCAAAGCAGCACCTGTGTGACCACCCAGACACACCTGGGAGTATGCTCCAGCAATGCCCAGGGGCTCTCCCAAAGCCAATCAAGTTGAAAATCCACCCCTAATTGCCACAGCTTTAATGCCCTTGATTCTTGGAACCTTAATTCAGCACCCTGGAGCCAGACTAAATTAAAAACATGGTTCCTCCTGAGCAAGTGACATTTCTCACCTTTGGCTGTCCTGACTGTGCAGTGAAATGGTAACAGTACCTACTTCAGAGGGTTGATGAAGACTGAGACAGTACACGTAAAGGGCTTACATGGCCAACAGATACTGCTGCAGTTCTCTTATCGTCATTGATTGGACTCAGTTCACAGCTCTTGCCTTTAGGAAGCTCTTTGGGGCTTCCTTATTTAATTGTGTTAGCTCACTCCTAGCTTCGTGTCACTCACAGACTTGGTCAAAATTTCTTCTTATCATTTAACTTGCTGATAGAAAAGTGTAAAGTTCTCAGGAGGCAGGAGCAACTCCTCCTGAATGCCGTTAATCCTGACAGCTCTATTCTTGTCTCCTGTTTCTCTATCTCCTCTACCCAGTTACCATGAGAGACTGAGGCTCAGCTGAAATTACTGTGCAACAGCTCTGACACCACCTGATCTCTTTGTTTTGAAATCTCATTTTTATCTATTTTAGTTTTATTTTTTTAATTTTGTTTTTATAAGAAATGAAGTTCACATGGACCCTTTTTGAATTTAGGGAGGCCCCACTAGCTCACAGCACTGTCCTGCCTAGTTTTCTAAGTGGCTGCAGCCATCTGGATCTGTGATGTGGAGGATAAGAAGATACCCTAAAGCCATGCTGAGTTCAAATCCTCTCTCTTCTACTTCTACCTGTGTGGCTTATGAACTGTATAAAATGGAATAGAAAATACCACCTGTCTTGTGGAGTTGTGGGAAGATTGAGTGAGTTCATGTAGGTAGCCTCTGGGAAGAATACTTGGCATGTAATAAATATACAAATGTTAGCTAGCAGTAACAGCAGTAATTTCAGTTCCACCTTAATGACCATTTCTAGAATTGAACTGCATTTGTTCTGCAGTCTTACTATTTTTCTTTAAATTAACTTACCTTTTTTTGATGTAATAAATTTCCTTTGAAACATTTCTTAAACGGAAGTTGGTATCCTTTGCCATAAATAGAAGGTATGTGTAAAAATATAAAGACTACCAAACAAAACAATATTACTAAATTCTATATACTCGTCTTCCATACTCAACTTGAACCCTGCACTTTCCTATTCTCTGTCTTTATCATAAAAATACAAGTAAAGTACTAGGGAAGTAATGTTACAGTGGTGCTAGACCTAAACTGAGCTCTCTCCATGGCACAATCTGAAATACTACATGAAACAAAAATCACTTTCCCACCATGCAGTTCTGCGTCTCCTAATGTGCTGCCAGCATCCCACGCTTGGCATCCCACACTGCTACTTTGGATAGTAGACAGTGGGCCTTT